GCTGAGGGAGGAAGAAATGGAGAGTTGTGGTTTAATGGGTTCACAGTCGTTTTGTTTTGTTTTGTTTTGTTGTTTTTTGGCTGTGCCAGCAGCTTGCAGGATCTTAGTTCCCTGACCAGGGATCAAACCCAGGCCACAGCAGCGAAAGTGCCAAGTCCTAACCACTGGGCCCCCAGGGAACTCCCTGGGTACACAGTTTCAGTTGGGGAAGATGAAAAATTTCTAGAGGTGGGTGGTGGTGATGGCTGCCCCAAAATGTGAATGTACTTAATGCCCCAGAGCTGTATGCTTCAAAACGGTTGAAATGGCAAACTTTGTGTTATGTGTATTTTACCGCAATAAAAAGTATATATCGAATTAGCCCATTTTAAAATACATATATATTTTTTTAAAGAGAAAGGCTCTTTCTTTTTAAAAAATTAATTAATTAATTAATTAATTATTTTTGGCTGCATTGGGTCTTTGTTGCTGCACGTGGACTTTCTCTAGTTGCGGTGAGCGGGGGCTACTCTTCCTTGTGGTGTGCAGGCTTCTCATTGTGGTGGCTTCTCTTGTTGTGGAGCATGGGCTCTAGGCATGCAGGCTTCAGTAGTTGTGGCTTGCGGGCTCTAGAGCTCAGGCTCAGTAGCTGTAGCGCACGGGCTTAGTTGCTCCGCAGCATGTGGGATCTTCGCGGACCAGGGCTCGAACCCGTGTCCCCTGCATTGGCAGGTGGATTCTTAACCCCTGCGCCACCAGGGAAGCCCAAAATGTATATGTTTGAAAAGATATAAAAGGATGTATCTATAATGTTATCAATTATTATCTCTGGCAATAGATTATGAGTGATTTGAGAAAGCTATCTTATTTTCTAAATGTTTATGGTAAACTTATGTAGATGGATAATAAAATACAATCCTGAAAAATTACAAAGGGAAAGATTTCCAGTACTGTCCTCATGAGAACATAGCAATTTTCTTCCACAAAAAACAAGTATAAAACTAGACAAAATTATTCTAACAGAGCACTGGAAAATGACCAAACGCAGGTTACAACTTGAAAAATCTTTATTCATGAAAAACTGCTGCAGAGGGCAGAGACTGAATTCTTGGCCTTTATGCCTGGGGGTGTCAGATCTCTCCAGCAAGGGCAGCAAAAACCCACAGCTTCACTGGCCAAAGATGGTGGACATGGTTCAAAGGTGGCATATTTAACAGGGAGATATTGAACATGAGAGAGCCATATGTGATGATTAATTTATATTTCAACTTGACTGGGCTGAGGGATGCCAAAAAAGCTAGTAAAACATTATTTCTGGTTGTGTCTATGAGGGTGTTTCTGGAAGAGATTAGCAGCATTTGAATCTGTAGACTAAGTAAAGAAGATAACCCTCAACAATGCAGGTGGGCATCATCTAATCCACTGAGGGCCTGAATAGAACAAAAAGGCAGAGGAAGGGTGAATTTGCTCTCTGTGCTTGAGCTGGGACATCCATCTTCTCCTGCCCTTAGACATCAGCATCCCTTGTTCTTAGGCCTTCGGACACAGACCAGGACTTAAACCATTGGCCCTCTGATTCTCAGGCCTTTGAACTTGGGCTGAAATTACACTGGCTTCCCTGGTTCTCCAGCTAGCAGATGGCAGACTATGGGACTTCTCAGCCTCATACTTGGGTGAGCCAATTCCTATAATAAATCTCCTCTTGATATGGGCATATATGTATAGCTGATTCACTTTGTTATAAAGCAGAAACTAACACACCATTATAAAGCAATTATACTCTAATACAGGTGTTTAAAAAAATAATAATCTCCTCTTTATATTTATATCTATATATCCCACTGTTCTGTTTCTCTGGCAAACCCTGGCTAATATACCACAGAAGGGTGAAGACAACAAATTCTTCACACGTCTTCAGCTGAATGCTAAACTAAGCATAAATGTAGGAGAACCCAGAGAACCCAGAGAAAATGGAAACCCTGGGACACTTAAAAACTTTCTCCCTCTTCTTCTTAGCATGCCTGAAACTGGAACCTTTGAATGAGCTGCTCAACCCACCCAGAGTTCAGGTTGCAAAGGGTTAAATCCTTACTGGCTTGAGGTGCCTGAGCATAACCTATGCCCACTCATTGGTTGACCCTGAACTATTCAGAAACAGGGGAGAGCCCTAGGGAGCCAAGCTAAAATAGAAAAAAAAAATTAAAATGAGCAGAAAGATCAGTAGCTTCATGCTGTGGGAGAGACAGAGTTTGCAGCTCAGGTCCAGGCAAGTTAATTACCTACTAAAACAGAAAAATCAACAACCTCAGAAAAACAAAATAATCTAGAGTTGTTGCCACAATGTATTATCTACAATGTCAGGTTTTCAACCAAAAATTACTCTACAGGCAAAGAAACAGGAAAGGTGACCCATATCGAGGGAAAAAAAGAAAAGCAGTCACTAGGAATTGACTCTAAGTGGGCCCAGATGTTGAATATAGATTTTTTAAAAGCTAAAAAAATATATTATAAATATGTTCAAAGAATTGCAAGACTGTGTATTCAAAGAATAAAGGAAAATACACTAAGTGAGAGTGAATAAATAGAAACTCTCAACAGAGAACTAAAAACTAGTTTAAAATCAAATAGAAATTCTAGAGCTAAAAAGTATAATAACTGGAAAAAAAACCACGTTTAAATCCACCAGATGGGCTCAATATCAAATGTGAGATAACAGAAGAAAGAAACAATGAACTTGAAGATAAATCAGTAGTCTCCAAACTGAAAAACACAGTTTGAGGGAAAAGACTGAGGAAACATCAACAGAATCTCAGAAATCTTCAGGACAATATCAAGCACTGCAACATATGTTTCATTATAGCCCCAAGAGAGAAAAGAGATAAGTGGGGAGAAAAATATTTGAAGTATAATGGCCAAAATCTTCCCAAATTTGGTGAAAACATTGGCTAAAAGATCCAAGAAACTCAACAAGAAGGATAAACACACAGAATCACACCGAGATACATCATAGTCACACTGCTCAAAGACAAAGATAAAATCTTGAAAGCAGCAAGAGAAAAAAGACACATCACATATTGAGGAACAACGATATAATAAGCAGCTGAGTTCTCACCAGAAATAACGGAGGCCAGAAAACATTGGAATGACATATTCAAAGTGCTGAGGAAAAATCTTGTCAACAAAGAATTCTCTATGTAGTAAAATTATCCTTCAAAATAAGAGTGAAATAAAGACATCTACAAATAAATAAACACTGAGCAAATTTGTTGCTAGAAGATCTGCATTACAATAAAAACTAAAGGAAAACTGAATAAAAACTTTTAACTAAAGGGAAATGATACCTGCAGTAATCCAAATACACATGCTGGAATTAAGAGCACTGAAATTGGTAACTGTGTGATATATTTTTTTCTTTTGTTTTATTAATTTCTTTAAAATATATATGACTGTTTAAAGCAAAAATTATTACACTGTGTATCTAGGTTTGTAACACATATAGGTGTAATATATGTGATAACAATAGCACAAAGAAAGGTGGGTAATTGAACTACAATACTGCAAATTTGGTGAAAGTTAGTCATTATTCATTTGTATTAGATTGTGATAAGGTAAAAGTGTATTTTGCAATGCCTAGAGAAATCATTAAAAACCTACAAAAATATCAAAAAAATAGAATTAAAATCATGCGTTTTAAAAGATTTGTTAGTGGGTACAGAGGGAACATATCTCAACATAGTAAAAGATATTTATGACAAACCTAAAACCAATTTAAAACTCAACGGTGAAAAGCTGAAAGCTTTCTTGCTCAAATCCAGAACAAGACAAGGATGCCCACTCTCACCACTTCTATTCAACATAGTATTAGAAGTCTTAGCCACAGCAATTAGACAAGAAAATGAAATAAAAGGTATCCAAATTGAAAGGGAAGAGGTAAAATTGTCATTGTATGCAGATGACATGATGCTATGTATAGAAAAACCCTGGGACTTCCCTGGTGGTGCAGTGGTTAAGAATCCACCTGCCAATGCAAGGGACACTGGTTCGATCCCTGTTCTGGGAAGATCCCACATGCTATGGAGCAACTAAGCCCGTGCACAACAGCTACTGAGCCTGCGCTCTGGATCCCACGAACCACAACAACTGAGCCTGCATGCCACAACTACTGAAGCTCATGCACCTAGAGCCCGTGCTCCACAACAAGAGAAGCCACTGCAATGAGAAGCAACAAAGAGTAGCCCCCGCTCGCTGCAACTAGAGAAAACCCACGTGCAGCAACAAAGACCCAACGCAACCAAAATAAAAATAAAGAAAATGTAAATTAAAAAAAAAAAAGAAAAACCCTAAAGACTCCACACAAAAACTACTAGAATTGATAAACAAATTCATCAAGGTAGCAGGATACAAGATTAACATATAGAAATATTGGTTGCATTTCTTAACACTAACAATGAAATATCAGAAAAGGAATGTAAAAAAAAAATACCTTTAAAATTGCACACACAAAACAATAAAATACTTAGGAATAAACCTGACCAAGGAGGTGAAAGACTGATATGCTGAGAACTATAAAACATTAATAAAGGAAATTGAAGATGATTCAAAGAAACGGAAAGATATCCCATGCTCTTGGATTGGAAGAAGTAATACTGTTAAAATGAAAAAAAAAAATGGTACTGATGAACCTAGTTACAGGGCAGGAATAAAGAGCGAGACATAGAGAATGGACTTGAGGACACGGGGTGGGAGGGTGAAGCTGGGGTGAAGTGAGAGTAGCATCTACATACGTACACTACTGAATGGAAAATAGTTAACTAGTGGGAAGCAGCAGCATAGCACAGGGAGATCAGCTCAGTGCTTTGCATTGACCTAGAGGGTTGGGATAGGGAGGGTGGGAGGGAGGCTCAAGAGGGAGGGGATATGGGGACATGTGTAGGCATATGGCTGATTCGCTTTGGTGTACAGCAGAAACTAACAAAGTACTGTGAAGCAATTATACTCCAGTAAAGATCTATTTAAGCATGCCCCCTCAATGTCCTTGCCATCTTTTGTGCTACAGTCTCTGGACCCCAGCCTCTGCTTCCTCTCGCCATGGATCCCAACTGCTCCTGTGCCACAGGTGGATCCTGCACGTGTGCCAGCTCCTCCAAATGCAAAGAGTGCAAATGCACCTCCTGCAAAAAGAGCTGCTGCTCCTGCTGCCCTGTGAGCTATGCCAAGTGTGCCCAGGGCTGTGTCTGCAAAGGGGCCTCAGACGAGGGCAGCTGCTGCGCCTGAAGGAGGGAAGAGCCTGCTCCCAGGTGTAAATAGAGCAACGTGCACAAACCTGCATTTTTTTTTTATACAACCTGACACGTTTGCTACATTCCTCTTTTTTTTTTTTTTGTCCTATAAAATACAAGAATGATAATAAAAGTGGTTGGCTTAAAAAAATCTATTTTAAAAAATATTTATATATTGTTAAAACGGCCATACTACCCAAAGCAATCTATAGATTTAATGCAATATCTCCCAAATTACCCATGACATTTTTCACAGAACTAGAACAAATAATCCTAAAATTTATATGGAACCATAAAAGACTCAGAATTGCCAAAGCAATCCTGAGGAAAAAGAACAAAGCAGGAGGCATAACCCTCCCAGACTTCAGACAATTCTACAAAGCTCCAGAAATCAAAACAGCATGGTATTGGCACAAAAACAGACATATGGATCAATGGAATAGAATAGAGAGCCCAGAAATAAACCAACACACCTATGGTCAATTAATCCTCAACAAAGGAGGCAAGAATATACAATGGGAAAAAGACAGTCTCTTCAGCAAGTGGTGTTGGGAAAGTTGGACAGCCACATGTAAATCAGTGAAGTTAGAACAAACCCTCACACCATACACAAAAATAAACTCAAAATGGCTTAAAGACTTAAACATAAGACATGACACCATGAAACTCCTAGAAGAGATCATAGGCAAAACATTCTCTGACATAAATCGTACCAATGTTTCCTTAGGTCAGTCTACACTAGAAATAAAAACAAAAATAAACAAATGGGGCCTAATCAAACTTTCAAGCTTTTGCACAGCAAAGGTAACCATAAACAAAACAAAAAAACAACCTATGGAATGGGAGAAAATATTTGCAAACAATGACACTGACAAGGGCTTAATTTCCAAAATATGCAAACAGCACATACAACTCAACAACAAAAAAACAAACAACCCAATCGAAAAATGGGCAGAAGACCTAATAGACATTTCTCCAAAGAAGACATACATATGGCCAATGGACACATGAAAAGATGCTCAACATTGTTAATTATTAGAGAAATGCAAATCAAAACTATAATGAGGTACCACCTCACACCAGTCAGAATGGCCAACATTAAAAAGTCTACAAATAACAAATTCTGGAGAGGGTGTGGAGAAAGGGAACCCTCCTACACTGTTGGTGGGAATATAAGTTGGTGCAGCCACTATGGAAAATAGTATGGAGGGTCCTCAAAAAACTAAAAATAGAGCTACCATATGATGCAGCAATCCCACTCCTGGGCATATAACCAGACAAAACTATAATTCAAAAAGATACATGCACCCGTATGTTCATAGCAGCACTATTCACAATAGCCAAGACATAGAAACAACCTAATTGTCCATCAACAGATGAATGGATAAAGAAGATGTGGTACATATATACAAGGTGGAATTGGAATACTACTCAGCAATAAAAAAGAGTGAAGTAATGCCATTTGCAGCAACATAGATGGACCTAGAGATTATCATACTAAGTGAAGTAAGTCAGAAAGAGAAGGACAAATACCATATGATATCACTTATATGTGGAATCTAAAATATGACACAAATGAACTTATCTACAAAACAGAAACAGACTCACAGACATAGAGAACAGACTTGTGGTTGCCAAGGGGGAGGGGGGTGTGGGAGGGAGGGATGGAGTGGGAGGCTGGAGTTAGCAGATGTAAACTGTTATATACAGAATGGATAAACAAAGTCCTACTGTATAGCACAGGGAACTATATTCAATATCCTGTGATAAACCGTAACGGAAAAGAATATGAAAAAAGAATGTATATATATGTATAACTGAATCACTTTGCTATACAACAGAAATTAACACAACATTTCAAATCAATTATACTTCAATTAAAAAAAAGATTTGTTTAACACAAAGAAGGCAATATATAAGGAACAGGCACAACAAGAGGTGAAACAAGTAGAAAACAAAGAGCAAAATTGCAGACCAACTCTAACCACCTCGGTAATACATTAAATATGAATGAACTAAACCTCCCTTCAAAAGGCAGAGGTGTCCTAGACTGGATTAAAAAGCAAGATCCAACTATGTGCTGTGTACAAGAAAGTGAAAGGATAGGAAAGGATATACCATGCAAACAAAACCATGAGAGGGCTGGACTGGTCGTATTAATAACAAACAAAATAGGCTTTAAGATAAAGATTATTACTGTAGTCAAAGAAGAACACTTCATAATGACTACAGGGTCAATATGGCATAAGGATATAACAATTATAAATGTATATGTCTATGATAAAAATGGCCTAAAATACATGAAGATTTTAATACTCCTCTCAGTAACTGGTAGAAAAAGTAGTCAGAAAATCAGGAAGGATACAGAACATTTGAATAACACTATCAAGAGAATTTACCTAATTGACCTTTATAAGACTCCACCTAACAAAAGCAGAATATACATTCTTTTAAAGTATACATGGAGCCTTCACCAGAATATACCAAGTATTGGGCCAAAAATAAGTCTCAGCATGTTTAAAAGGATTGAAATCGTACAGCGTATACTCCTTAAACAAAAAAGAATTAAAGTAGAAAGAAATGTGGGAACCCTCCCCCATCAAATACCTAGAAGTTAAACAACATGCTTCTAAATAACTCAAAAACAGACATCACAAAGGAAATTAGAAAAATGTCTGGACCTGAAGGAAAAATTTCAAAACGTATCAAAATGTGCAGGGTTTAATTAAAGCAGTGCTTAGAGGGAAACATATCTTTAAATGCTTATATTAGGGAAAAAAAAGGTATAAAAATTAATTATCTAAGTTTCCACCCTAAGAAGCTAGAAAAGGAGAAGAAATTAAACCCAAATTAAGTACAAGGAAGGAAGTAATAAAGGGAAGAGCAGAAATTAATAAAATAGGAACAATTAAGAAAATCAATGAAACTAAAATTTCCGGTATAAACTGGAGGATCTAAAAAAGATGCACAGCAGGATGACTATAGTGATACTGTACTGCATGTTTCAAATTTGTTAATAGGTTAAATTTTAAATGCTGTCATCACAAGAAAAAAAATGGTAACTATGCACGGTGATGGATATTAACTAGACTTGTGATGATCAATTTGCAGTATACATAATATTGAATCATTACCTTGTATACCTGAAACTAATATAATGTTATATCTCAATTATACCTCAAAATTCAAAAAGACTCAAGTCAAATTTTACGAGATGAAAACTATAATGCCATATACAAAGGGACACAGGAAACTTTTGGGGTGGTGGATTTGTTCTCACCTTGATGTGGTAAAGGTTTCATTAGTGTATATATATGTCAAAATGTATAAAATTATACCCCCTAAAATATGTAGTTTATTGTATGTTAATTATGGCTCAGTAAATCTGTTACGGAATAAATATAAACAAGAGAAGAAAAAGGACAGCAAGAGAATATTATGAACTTTATGCCAAGAAATTTGAAAACGTAAAGGAAATGGACAAATTTCTCAAAAGATAAAAATTGCCAAAACTGACTCAAGGAGAAAGAGAAGATCTTAATATACCTTTATGAAGTTAAAAGTTTGAGTTGGTAATTAAAAACCTTCCCACAAAGAAAAGGCCAGGCCCAGATGACTTTCACTGGTGAATCCTAATCAAATACGTAAGGGAGAAATACTACCAATTCTGCAGAAACTCAGAAAATACAAGAAGCATTTCCCAATTCATTTCATGAGGCTAGTATTATCCTGACAGCAAAGCCAGACAAAGAAATCACAAGAAAAAAAAATCCTATAGATACATACTTCTCATGAACATGGATACAAAAATATTTTTAAAGTATTAACAAATCAAACCCAGCAATATATACAGAGGATAATACATCATGGTTGTTTGAGGTTCATCTCAGAATGCAAGTTTAGCATAACATCTAAGCATCAGTAAATATATTACACCATATTATCAAAGGAGAAAAATCATATAATCACCTCAGTAGATGCAGGAAAAGCATTTGTCAGCATTTATTCACAATAAAAACTCCCAGCAAACTAGAATAGAAGGGAACTTCCTCGATGTAATAAAGAGCATCTGTGAAAAACCCACAGCTAGCATCACGTTTGATGGTGAAAGACAATGCTCGCTACCTCAAACCAGGAACAAAACAAGGACGTCTGCTCTCACCACTTCTATTCAACATTGTACCACTATGCACCCATTAGAATGGGTAAGATTAAAAACAAACCAAAACACCTGACTATACCAGGTTATATTGTACACTTGCAACTAATAATATAGTGTTAGGTGTCAATTTTAAAAGACCCAAATCAAATTTTGAGATGAAAACTATAATGGAACGTACAGAGGAACACAGGAAACTTTGGGGATGATGGTGAGGATATAGGGAAACTGGTACCTTGTGCATTGCTGGTGGGAATGCATAATGGTACAGCCACTTAGACACACTCCTTGACGGGCTTCCTAGAAAGCATTTTATCTCATGATCTAGTAATTGTAGCCCTAAATATCTACCTAAGCAAATTGAAAACAGACGTCCACACAAATATTTGTATGCCAGTGATCACAGCAGTATTATTCATTAAATCCAAAGAAATGGATCCAACCTAAACGTCCTCCAACAGGAGAATGTATACATCCATATTATGGAATACCATTCACTAATTAAAAGGAAAAAAACACACTGATATGTGCTACAATGTGGATGAACCTCAAAAACGTTATAGTAAGCAAAGAAAGCCAGACAGCAGACCACACACTATCTGATTTCCTTGATATGAAATGCTATGAAAAGCAAAATTACAGTGACCGAAATCACATCACTGGTTACCTGGGGCTGGAGATGGACTGCAAAGAGATACGAGGGAATGCTGGCAGTGCCAGAAGTATGTTAAACCTTGCTTGTGGGCGTGGATGCACAAGTGTATATATTTACCGAAATTCATTGAACTGTATGCTTAAAATGGGTGACATGTATGGAATGCAAATTATACCTCAGTAAAGCTGTGAAAAAAAAAACCAGGAGACCAGAAATTTGTTGTGGAGTTAGTTAAGCACTGTGGGAACCAGGAGCGATGCTCTGACCCATAATTCACATTTGGGTTAACATCTGTGTGCTACAGACTGCCAGCCTCCTGGGCAAGATT